AAACAAAATACTAAAACTAATATTAGTCGTAAATTGTTTGTTAAATCATCATCAAAACAAGAAGGCCAACAATCTCCCCCTTTTTGATGATGACAAATAATTTACCAATATTACATAATAAAATCAATAAAAGTTCACAAACATACAAACATATAAATACTCACATTTTCTCCCTCTTTGGCAACATTAAAAATAGGGAAAACAAAAGAATAAGAGAGCGAAAGCTTCCCCTGTCAATAAGCACGGGTGAATATAAACAACAAAAAAAATATAGGGATGACTCCCCCTATCAAAATGTTTTAATGAATGTATACAATAATGATCAATGCAAACATATGTGAGCAAGCATAGATGTAAAGTATGCTAAACATAACTCACATACAACAATAGACCAAGTGAACACATATACATGTATCATTAAGAATAGAGTCACAAGAGTCTAAAGGGAAAAATGTGTCAAGGCCCCAAAAAATAAAGTGGATGTGACCTAAACCCCTTTATTATTTTTTGTGTGTCAAAGCCCCTAATACATGAAGTAATTATTTTCAGCCCCTATTTACATTTCCAAGACAACATAGACACAAATATTTTTTTAAAACCCAAAATTGCCCCCGTCTCTCTTCCCTCTTCTCACGCTCAAAGCTTGAACTTTTCTCTAAAAACGTGGGAAAATCTCTCAGCATTTTTTTTAACTTTCCCCCTCTCACTAAGAACCTCCCCTTTTCCTTCAATCTCCCACTCCCCTCGATCCGAAATCTTAATTTCCAATGGTGAAGACCACAAAATCAAAGAAACCCAGTGCCACAGGAAAGAAAAAAGTGACCCCGATCGAGATCGCCTTCATCGTCGACCGCTTCCTCGCCGACAAAAATTACGAAAACACCCTCGCCGCTATTCGATCTGAGGCATCTGACCTATTCTTAAAGACCAAGGGCAAAGAGATGATCTTGCCGCTCTTTCGCCCCAAATTTCTAGGATAAAAAATCTATTTTTTTCACTAATTTTAGGGATTTTTTAAGGTGCTGAAAGGGTTGTTAGGGTTAGGGGATATACTGGACGAGTATACAATGTTGAAGGAGCAGAGGGTGATGGTGGATCAGGAGAAGAGGAGGCTCGAGATCGTGTTTCAAGTGTTTTAGGATGTGATGAGGGCTTATAACTCACCGAAGTCGCCGATGAGTTTGTCGCTACAGATGTCTATGACGCCAAGTTGGGATTTTCATCAGGGATCGGATCCTAATAATAGGTCTCCTCCTCCTCAAGGTATGATCTAAATTATTTGAATATCATTGCAATTTTTAAGTTTTAAATTGGAGATGTCATTTAAGTTGTTTGTTTTATCGCGTGTACCTTTGTTGGATGAAATTTGGAGGATGTCTGTTAGTTATAGCGATGATAATGATAAATATATGCTTGGACATGTCATGTAATTATATGATTGTGTTTTATTATTGTTGTTGTTGCTATACCATTTTCTTAAAAGAAATAGGTGCACTGCAATGCTCATATAGTTCAATATTGTAGAGTTTTTCTTATAAAATCACTCATCTTGTATGTTGTTGTATAAGGACAAACTATATGGTTATCTCAATGTATCATTTTAGTTCTAATAAGTTGAACTTCTTTTGTATAAATCACTCATCTTGTACGCTTTGTTGATAGTGAAGGAACCTTCATTCACAACTTTAGAATAGTTCATCATGTAGCGGCAAAGCTCACACTAGATGAGAACAGATGGGTCTCAAATTTTTACAATCAGAAATTTCATCAGTAAGTCTAGTAACTCTCATTCATGTTTGGTTGCATATTATTTGTGATCTTTTATCCACTCATGTTAATGTTTGTGTATAAATACTAATATTACCCTTGGCTATAATCCATGTGGTTGATAGGAATCAAGTAACAACTCCCGATGCTGAGTTTGATGTCATCCGTGCCAGGCTAGCAGCTGAACTTCTAATAGAAGGATGGCAACAGAAGAACTTGATGTTTATCATGTAGTTGCATGTGGCTGGTACATTTAAGGGCATTTGCTGCTATTTATTTATGAAGGTGAGGGGGCATCGAGGAGGAGGGGGAGGGGGCTTCGAGTCGAATTTTTTCCATGTTTCATTATTTAGTTGATTATACTATGTGTACTTTTTATTCTTGTGTAGTTTCTCTAGAATTGCTTGTAATGTGTTATGTTTCATTATTCAATTAATTATACTATGTGTTCTTGTGGTTTGGTTGTACTTGGATAAAAATTTAATGAAATGTATTGTGTGTATTTAGTGATCAATTTTGGTATAATTTATTGCAATTGCATGTTAACTATATTATGACTGTCATGTGAATATGTACAAGTTCATTCAAATAGAACTTGATGTGCATAATAAACTAAATATTATATATAAATTATGTGTATCAAAACTGAATATTATGGTACATAACATGTACATAATCTTGAGGTTATTATGTACATAATATATACAGATTATGTACATAATCTTTAAGTTACGATACACTATTAAATCTCAGACACTTGTACATAATCTGTACATATCCTTCAGGTTATTATGATACTATCAAATCCCATGATAAGTAATAAAATGACCTATTTTCTATGTTAACTTTAACTATTACATGTAAACTTTCATCATTATATGTTAACTCTCCTCATAACATATTAACTTTCCATCAGAACATGTTAACGTTCATCATAATATGTTAACTTTCACTGTTACATGTTAACTTTCACCATAATATGTTAACTTTCACCATAATAAGTTATCTTTCTTCATAACATGTTAAATTTTAACTGAACATGTTAACGCTCACCATAATAAAATTCTCACATTCTTAAAGTGTGCAGAGATCTGATCGGGCTTCAATCTTGACGACGGATTATGTAAAAGTATCAATCTTTAGCGTGAAGAGATGAAATATAACATGTTCGTAAGAAAGTTAACATATGCAGATGAAACTTAACACATACAGTTGATAGTTAACATATTCAATTAAACGTTAGTATATACACCAGAAAGTTAACATATAAAGATGAGAGTTGACATGCTCGTGTGAAAGTTAACTTGATCAAGTTAAAGTCAAGATTTTTACCTTAAATTTAGAGATTGAGCTTCACTTCGTGAGTCGGGAATATACATTTAACTGAAAGTTAACATCTTTACTTTAAAGTCTAAAGAATTTGAAAGTCAACGTGTACAGTTGAAAGCCAACAAGTTCATCTCAAAGTTAACATAGTCAAATGAAAGCTAACATGTTCAGCTGAAAGTTATCCAGCTAAAAGTAGTTGTAGCACCAAGATATTTTATAGGAAATACAAACAATATAACCTAGCTAAACAAGTACATTACACAAAACTTCTTACATTCTTATAGCTGATATTGCTTCAGTACATAATAGCATTTTCATAGCAGCATATTATTATTTTCTTACATCTAAAAGTTAACATGTTCAGCTGAGACTTATCGTCTTCAAATGAAAGTTAACATGTTCATGTTAAAGTCAACATGTTAGAATGAAAGTTAACATATATAGCAAAAAGTTAACATGTTCAGCTGAGAGTTAACGTGTTCAAGTTAAAGTTAACATGTTCACGTTGACGTTAACATGTTCGGCTAAAAATTAACATATACAGTAGAAGGTTAACATATTCAGTTGAGAGTTAATGTTTTCAAGTGAAAGTTAACATATTCATGTTAAAGTCAACATGTTTGTCTAAAAGTTAACATATACATTCAAACAACAGGCAAAGTAGTACACATTCAAACAACAGGCAAAGTATGAAATCCAAGAACAAGTAGGCAACACAGTTCATAATAACCAGAAACTAAAAGAACAGAATTTGACATGAAAAGTTAAATCCAAACACAAAAGAAGCACAGAGAAAAACAATGTACAACATCTCCTTGAAAAAATCTTGTGATCCTATGCTAATGTAATGAATTAATATGATTAAAACATTAGATGTACAAAAATAAATTTATATGATTAGTCCAAAGACCTAGATGCTGCTACCAAAATAAAGCTAACTGAAAGATATGATAATAGAAAATTACCAGCAAACTATTGCCAAACAGAGAGCACTACAAAATTACAAGAATAAAAAGAATTCATGATTATTGGAACCCCCATCCCAGCACAGTTTGAGAATTAACATAATTAATTAGGCATAATTAAATAAATCCACTCATTATGCCAAATCTATCAGGTATAGGAGAAAATTTACAGCTCAAACAAATTCATCAACTCAAATTTAAAGCCCAACAAACTGCGAGTGTCTCATCAGAGTTGAAAACACAAGATTCATTTCTTATCAACCAATCATTTTAAAGAATCTAGGGCCGCCAATGAAGGAATAAATCTCATGAGCATAGACAAATATGAAGCTTAGAATAAAAAGCATTTAATACAAATCATCTCAAAACTTGAGATATCATTAGGATTCCAAGCCCACCCCAATTCGTTTTCAGCCTAAACTTCAACAAATCAACAAATAATCTAACTTGAGGAAAAAACACACCAAATAAGATCAAAACCCGTCCTCCCAAATATAGGAAATTATCGAGTGCAGCACACGGAGAGGAACTAGAGGTGCCTTGACTCTAGTGGATGACATAATACGAGGTCAACCATTCAGTCTATCTCCCTAATGATTCCAAAGGCAAATTCCGTTACATCATAACACTAGTAGAAAAACGACCAATCTAGACGGAACAATCTAGACGGAAAAAATTTCTGTCTAGTTTGGAGCAAACACTAGTAGAAAAACGAGCAATCTAGACGGAAATTTCCGTCTAGATTGCTCGTGTTTCCGTCTAGGTTGGTTCACCTAGACGGAAATCCGTCTAGTTTGTTCCGTCTAGTATATTTCCGTCTAGGTTGGAAGGTGGAGCAACTAAGACGGATTTCCGTTAGGTGAAGACCTAGACGGAAGCACGATNGCATGCTATATGATATCACATATACACAATATTGCACAACACCAAATCATATTCATATCCAACACAATCAATCTAATTATATTTTAATATCAAATATAATTATATTTAAATAATACATTCACCAAAAAACTAGAAAGATACATAAAATTTTTACATAGATTATAAAGAATACAATTGTTTACATAACTTAATGAACTTTGAATAATTTATAGAATCCAATTGCATTTACTCCTCCAAGTTGTTGAAGCATCATGTTTCCTCCTCCTTGATCCTACATTATACAAAATTCAACATCAATTAGTCCATGCCTGAAATACACTTAGAAAGCATTAACTTTGCAAAAGAACTAATAGGGAAATCAAAATATTGGTTACTGGACTAACAACAACATTAAGAGCAATCCATGTACAACAACTTTGCTATGGTTACTGGACTAACAGTAAGTAAAGAAACATAAACTCAAAAATGTTTCAGCTGCTTTCAAACAAAGTACAAATTAGGTAAAATAAACTCAAAAAAGTTATTTCAGCTGTTCCTCACTATCCAAATAACAGGTAAATAAAAAGCTCTCAACTTCAACCGATTTATCTGGTGCTAAAAATCAAACTTATCTTCCATATCATCTTTAAATCATGACTGTGCATGCTAATGCTTATAATAATCAAATCATCACAATCATATGGTGCAAAAAATCTTCAATAATGCATAATAAAATGATAGGAATGCAAGAGCCAATAGCAACCTGTAAACTTTCAAAATAAGCAAAGCAATAGAACATTCCAATGACTCCATCTCTGGTAGAAAACCCCTGATTCTCCCTTAAAGCCCACACAAGGTTCAGGTCTATGGAAAAGATTGCAAAAGGCAACTATACATTTGTATCCCCGTCAAGTCCTCACACAGTAAATCAAACAATTCCAATTACGAGTAAAGATTGCAGATTTCAACAATGGACCCAATTTCAAGAAACAAAGTTGAAAACAAAGAAGAAGCTCTATGATCAAATGAAGAAGCCATCAAGAAATTTAATGTAACTGGTTAATTACTATCTAAAGATGTATATAGTCAGTGAATCGTACACTAAAACTCTTAAACATGAGAAAGATTATATAATAACACGAGTTGTCACAAAAAAGGCCCCAGATTGTATTCTGACAACACACAAATGAGAATACAATATGAACAGCTGACCAATTTGATTCCACTTATCCATAGAAACAACATACATCTAACTAACAAATACTTACAACAAAAACCAAGTTTCAGCGCAGAGCTCGCCCATTACCAACCGAACCCCAATCCCCTGCAACACCCATCAACAATTACTCAAAATCCCAACAAAATGAGTGCCAAATAATATCAATATATCCCAATTCCAGAAAAAAAAACTCATTAAGAAACTAAGTACCTATTTCTCAAAAACGTAAATAAACAAAAACCCAGATCGAAAGGGAGAACGGCGTGAATCCCTCCTCTGCCTTCGTCGGAGAATCGATGGCCCGCAACCAGCTCGAATTCCTCCTCTGCCTTCAAAAATACACAATAACTTTAAAAAATTCATCAAGCCGACAAAATTAACCAAAAAAAATCGAGCGGAAATTCTCACTGAGTTAGAAATAGAAAGTGATAGCTCCTTGATAAACAACCAAAAAAAATTCGAACCAAACAAGGAACTTTCTGACCTTGATCCCCTTCAGCTCGTCGGTCGATCCGTACTTGATGACGCCGGTGATGGCGTCGGCATAGTGGACAAGGTAATCGAAGTGGATGTAGCAGGGGGATTGGAGGTTGACAGTGAAGTGGCCGTTGGAGGAGACGGAGAAGGATTTGACGGAGTCTGGGAGGAGCTCGTGGATTGACGATGGTGGCAACTTTCTGATACTTATGTACAATGTCATGATGTGAAACTAACAGAGAAAAATACAGAGCAATAAAAAAATCATCATATACATAATCGAGACAACCATCGCTCGAACATCAAGATCCCAAAGATCAAAATTGTGGGCCAAAAAATTGAGAAAACCCCCTTAAAAATTCTAAAGATCGAACCTTGACGACGACAATCACAACACCTCGGATGCCTCCGGCATCTGCTTGCCACGTCCCCAGACCAACCACCGGGTCCTTAGCGCCGGTGTTCAGTTCAAAAAACATCGTCATTGCCTTCGTCTAGAGAGAGAGAGTCTGTCGATTTGACGAAGAGGGAACCGAATCCAATCATGGAGCAGAACAAATCTGAGGCCAACCATGGAGGAGGAGGGGGCTGTCAAGGAGATGCGGAGGAGGGGGGATCTCGACACCGTCGAGGTCGGCGTGGAGATGTGCCGGAAGTTTGAGCGGAGGAGGATGAAGAATTGGGGATCTGAATAGTTTTTAGGGTTTTTACATAGCGGGAAATGAAAAGATAGGGGGGTAATTGTGGCGCTGGGTCTCAAAACCAAATTATCGGAGGCATTCCGTCCAGAATGCCAACCTAGACGGAATTTTCCGTCTAGGATGAGGCAATCTAGACGGAACAGTCTAGACGGAAATAATTCCGTCTAGTTTACCTCAAACTAGACGGAATTATATTCCATCTAGGTTGTTCCGTCTAGTTTGACTGATTTTCTACTAGTGAAACTAGACGGAAAATTTCCGTCTAGATTGTTCCGTCTAGTTTGGATCAAACTAGACGGAAAATTCCGTCTAGTTTGACAAACGAGACGGAACAGTCAATCTAGATGGAATTCCGTCTAGGTTGCTTCAACCTAGACGGAAATTTCCGTCTAGGTTGTGCTTGTTGCAGTCACGCTAGACGGATTCCGTCTAGTTGACTAGGCCAACCTAGACGAATTCCGTCTAGGTTGAGGCAGACCTAAGATGAAATTCGCGTCTAGGTTGCTAGGGCAAATCTAACAAGTTTGCCAGCCGCCACCATCCCCCCATTTCTCTGCAACTCTCGTTACTCTCCCGGCCTTCCCTTCCCCTCCGCGACCCCCCTCCTCCGGCCTCCCCCCCGCCCCCCTGGCAGCCCCCTCCCGACCGCCCCTCCTTCGGCCCCTCTATCCCCGAGCCCCCCCCCCTCCCCCTTCCTCAACCCGCATCCATCTCCGCCCCCAACACCCTCCCTCGCGGCCCTCCCCCCCCCGCCCCCTCGCCTCCCGCCCTGAACTTCAGCCCGCTCCCTTCCCCGAAGCCCTGCCATCACCCTCCTACCGACCCCGTCCCCTCCTCCGGCCTCCCCCCGCCCCC